TTCAAATACTTGGAAAGATGTTTGTTTACTATGATTATCTCGGGGAAGTATATCAAACTCAAGGGTGCTCAACTTGGGGTGCATGCCCTCCACTGTGTACGACTTTTTTGTAAGAACTATTAGAGCTTCTCTGGCATGAAAGTCTTTAATACAAAGGGCTTTATACACATTCGTCCTATAATACTGCACTAGATATCCTCAAAGATACTTTACACGATTTAATAAGATCTATAAGGCAAAACAAGGTTTTTTTTAAAAGGGAAATTTACATTCTTGTCCGATTTAATTTTTGGAATAATTTTATTTTATGTTCAAGTCCCACTTTTTTGGGACTTTTTTAGCCCCTCTTTAGACATTCAATGTCCGAACTGGTTTTTTTTTTTGATACAAAAAGTGGCTTGGAAATTTGATGTCCGGATCCATTTTTTTGGTCTTTGTGCCAATCCGGACATCCAATGTCCAAACCGCTCTAAACTAAAAAATAAAAGACAAGTGTTTGGGTTCAGACATCAATGTCGGAAACGGAAACGCTTTCTTTTGTTTTTAGCCTAAAAGAGCAGTTCAGACATTGGATGTGTGAACCGGCACAAAGACAAAAAGGAATGGATTCAGACATCCAATGTCTGAATCTCTTTTTGACTCAAAAAGTAAAAAGACCTTGGTTTGAACATTTAATGCCTGAACTGGGGGTAAAATGGGAAATAAAAAGATCCCCCTAAACTGGGATTTGAACATAAATTTTAAAAAAATTTAGGACTACTTTTATTTCTGAAAATTAGAAAGGGCTAGATTGTACGTTTCCCAAAAAAAGAGGAACTTAGTGTGAATATCTATTTGCTGACGATTGTGACACAATGTTGGAAATTCTTATCTCAGGCATCTGGTGATCATAAATCCACAGATAATTGCATAAATTCTCTTTCATTATCAGGGTGTCCTCATTTTTTGCCCATTTTTACACTCTTGTTTGGTTTTACTCTAATTTTTTATTTGTTATGTAGTATCTTATTCCTGTAAATTTTTTATTCACATGCAGTCAAGGCATGCCATGGTGTTGTGAGCCATTCCATACAGGCATTTGAACCGTTCGTTTAACATTGTCACATGTGAACAACTGAAATGATCATTATATCATACCAATTGAATTGCATCCTAAGAATTTTAAATGCATCATAGCATTACATGGGTGTGGCACCATACTGTAAGGAACGAAGCACACCTTGAAAGGATTTGGAAGCAACAAAAAAATGAGGAATATAGCATTCTCTATTTTGAAATAGCTCCTGCTTTTCTGGATAGGTCCTTTTGTGTTCTTCTGTGAACAGAAATATTTTATCTACAATTTCATTCATCTGAGACTCAGCTTATATCAAGTTCGTTTTTCTTGTTCTTTTTTTCTTCTTCTGTGCCTAATACTGATTTGAATTTTGGTGGACTTATTTTCTTTCTAGTTGATAGCAGTGTTTTTTCTTTAACTTTTTTTTAATAAATGATGGTATTATTTGTTTGTTTTGACATTTTTTGACATTCTGTCTTGATAGGGTTATGATCTTTCTGAGTTTGTTTTAATACCAGGATGTTACATTACATGATCTGGATGCTGCAAATGCTCGTCCACAAGGAGGGCAAGATATTCTCTCTCTGATGGGTCAGATGATGAAACCCAGGAAGACTGAAATAACTGACAAGCTGCGGCAGGAAATAAACAAGGTTTTGCATTATTCTACGTGGATGTATATAATACTTTTGTGTTAATTTATTTATTTTTATTTTTATTTTTTATATATACACAATTTTTAGTAAACTGCAGTAATGCATGTATGAAGTGTTGTTGCACTTCTTATTAATATAACTAGTGATATTGTTATGTGACAGGTGGTTAACAGGTATATTGATGAAGGAGTAGCAGAGCTTGTGCCTGGGGTGCTATTTATTGATGAGGTACTATTTATCTGTAGCACCTGCTTGCATACAGTTGCACACGCACACACAACACAAAAACAAATCTTTGTATGTTTTATGCAATTCTGCAAGTATACATTTTGCAGCTGTACGAACATATAATATGTTATATTTCACAAAAAAACATCAAATGCACTTGATTTCATTGAGTGTCATTTATTTATATGGTTGCTCAAAACTTATTTGTAGGTCCACATGCTGGATATAGAATGCTTCTCGTACCTTAATCGTGCTTTAGAGAGTGCGTTGTCACCCATTGTCATCTTTGCAACAAATCGGGGAATATGCAATGTGCGGTATGCTGACTTATTTCTTGCTTGGTGTTCTTTATCAAAGATATTTCCATTGGATTATTTGGTCCTCTGATGCTACTTGTTCGTGAAGCTGTTCCTTCTATATATTTGTACCGCATTATTTCTGGGGATGCTAGAGCTCAATTCAATGGACCATGGAGAAAAATATTGGGTCTTTGCATTATAAACTGAAATAATGGACAGTGATGGAGCTCAAGCGCAACCTACTATTGGGGTCATTTCATATTTGGGTGGATGCGACTCTTGTCACCATCCATCATTTCAATGGGCACTTATTGTTACACATTCCTTGTTCTAATATACTTCCCCTTATGTCGGTGACTCGTCTTTGCAATAATTTATTGTTTTGAGGTATCTTTGTGTTTACTGTGATTGTTGGATATATTGCAGGGGAACTGATATAAGTAGTCCGCACGGCATTCCTGTAGATTTATTAGACAGACTGGTGATCATCCGAACTGAACCTTATGGCCCTGCAGAAATGATACAGGTTTTTTTCCCTATTTCATGATTTTGTTAATATAAATATGGCTTTTACTTTTGTATCATATATACTTTGCATTATGCTGCTCATGATTATATTGATTATTCTTTTGTGGTGTGAATAGATACTGGCTATACGTGCCCAGGTCGAGGAACTGCTTATCGATGAAGAAAGTCTTGCATACCTTGGGGAAATAGGACAACAGGCATCATTGAGGTTTGATTCTGCTTCACCTCCCTCTCCTCTCTCAACTGCATCCTCTGGGTTTCTAACTTCCCCAGTTGTTTGTCATGTTTTTCCACTTTAGACATGTATTATCAGTTGCTGTTTTGTTAGATTGCTTGAAGGGACAGTAGGCTATAGTCCAATTCCAATATCACCAGCCAATGATCAGGGGCCATCCAAAGGCTCAAAAACCTACCTTTTCTTCATGTTTCATGTCCTCCACTTGCTTCACCATCCTTAAATGTTTCTCCATGATGATATTCTTTGGTTCTTCCAGAGTTCTTTGTGTAAACAAGTGCCATGCCATCTGGTCAGCATAAAATGGCTAACCTTTTTTTCTTGGCAAAACACCCTACCTCCTCCTTGGTTTGTGCCCGTCCTCCCAATTCACCAAACCAATCCTCTGATCGATAAGGTAAAAGACCCGAGTCTTCTTGAAGGCTCTCCACCCCTTCTCCCCCTCATATAAAAAAAAACATAGATTGGTTCATCTAAGCTATATGGATCTATTTAAACTTCATCATGCTAGCCTTGATAGGAATAGGGGAGAATGGTAGATGGGATAGCTTTTTGATTGGTCCCCTCTGAATGACAGCACTTTCATTTTTCATCTAGGCAGTTTACCTCCTGTTCTACCCAAGATTGGTTCTTATGGGGTGCTTTCTAGGCATTCATCCTCAGACATGAGTCATGGGAGCCCCATATTAGTATTTGACAAGCTGGAAACCATGATTTCAATGGATATCAAATGGACATTGTGCTAATGCTACTTGGGTTTCCAGTATTTTGAGCTCTTTATGGTTCCTTTCCTTTACTGTGATGGGGTAGTCTCTAGCATGAATTATTGAGTATATCAATCCTTCTCATTCTCAAGGAAGAAAGGATTGATCTCATTGAATACTCTGGGGTTTGGGGTTTAGGGTTTTAGGTTTCATGACGAGATTTCTGGTACAGTTGAGTCATTCACACTTTTGGCATACAGAGTAAAATGATCTAGACATTTTTTCATTTTTAAAGTTAAATGAAGTAGACATGCTAATGTAAACTAAGAGGGTTCCAATACATTAAAATTGGTTATTAAGTAGGGCTCCAGGGGGTTAGTTCTGTGGTAGTTGCGTGTCTTATTTTTGGAAATTTTTGTTCTGCAAAAACAAACCGGGGGAAAGTTTATAAATCATAAATTCTATTTGATTATTATTTTTTAAATAATAATATGAATATTTTATAATATGTACACTTTTTTAATCCAAACATTAGGAAACATTGATACTATTTACCCTCTGTATTTGCAGGCATGCTGTACAGCTGTTATCCCCTGCTAGCATTGTGGCCCGTATGAATGGTCGAGATAACATTTGCAAGGTGAACCTAGGACTGCCTTTGTGAAAGCGTTACTAGAATTTGTATCACTTCAGTTTCTGAGATTTGATAATCATTGCCCCTGTTTTGTGTTTGTTTTAGCGTAAACTGCTTTTTTTTGGAAAAGAATAAGGAGTTACGCAGTTGCGAGTGAGAAACTTGAGAACAAATGGACAAAATAGGATAGAATGGTGGTTCAAATCCCACTTATCAATTAAAGTGAATGTGTGAATAAAAAAAAACTAAATGACCGTAATTATTCTCATACAAAGGGAAGATTAACATTAATGAGGCAAAAATGGGAGAGGAATTTTTACGGCTCTGTATACTTAATTCATCATGGCTTTTATTACTCATGTACTGAATCACTGACTGTTGTACGCTTTCCTTGACGTATGAAGGCGGACATTGAGGAAGTGAGCTCATTATACTTGGATGCAAAATCTTCGGCTAGGCTTCTTCAAGAGCAGCAAGATAGATATGTCTCATAATAAGAGACCTTGGCCTTGCTCCATGTAACTATGTTGGTTTTCTGAAGGCCGAGGCAGTCATCAAATCACTTGAGGCTTCACTCAAAAACTGATGGGGATTGCAAATTCCAATTGGTTTTGGAGATGTGAGTGCTATTTCAGTTTACTCGAGGCGATTGTGGAGTGGCATTTGTGCGTTACATCATGATTATTGTTTCAGGGGGTTATGGTGTGTTTGATGTCATTACTTGCGCGGTAATGAGCTGCTGTGATCTTCACAGGCTTTTGTAGTGGTGATTCTGATGTGTTTTAGGCACAGTTGGAAACTTCAATCAAAAAACCTTTACATCAATGATTGTGACTTGATGGTTGTGAAAGTAAATTAGGATTTCAAGCTTTAAAAAAATATATATATTTTAATAAATTATCTAGACAGTCCATTTCGCCCTACAAAGCTCTAAAAAAAAAATATTTTAGCAAATTATCTTAGATCATTCGTATCTCCCTAAAAAATAAGTTTTCAAATAAGTTTTCAAAGATTCGTAAGATTGGTATATTTTTTGAGTTTCAAATTTTATTGTCGATGTTGCAAAGTGATTTTAGGGCCGTTATGGAGATTTTTGGTGCTGAAAGGCATTTTCATTAGGGGATTTTTGGTCAGGGCTTATTTGGTTTTCATAAAGCCTAGCCTTATATAAATTCATCTTTTGCTTTTTAGCTTCATTTTATACCTTCTCAAAATGCATAAAAAAAAAAGGGGGGGCAAATATCTCACTACACCTTAATTTGGAGCACTATTTACCAGTCGACCTACATATTTGAAAACAATCCAGCTACATAAGTTTTTCAAAACCCATTTAACCTTATTTTATAACACATTTTCGTCCCAAACAATATCAGAAATAACGTTAAATTCTTTCGCCTTAATCCGTCACATACCCTCTCTCCTGGTCCAACTCTCTCGCCACTCCCCCAACCTCTCTCCTCTCGTTCTAAATCCATCTCTCTCCCCCTATCCCCCGCTTTAACCCCTCTTTCCTCTCCCCCAAACCCCCTCTCTGTCTCTGTCGCTTGTACCCAACCCCCCTCTCTCCTTTCTCCCCCAAACCCTCTCTCCTTTTAGAGCATTAGATCTGATGTGGGTATCAACAACAACAGGAGTGAAGGGGTTGTAGAGGGTTGAAGAGAGAACCCAAATCTTCATTTTTATGAATGAAGACTTACTTACAAATTGAAGAGTGAACCAATGGAAGATGGGTTCATGCACTAAGAAGATGTGGGTGGAGTCAATTGACTTGAGTGTCGAGAACTCTGGTTTGGGTCATGTGGGCAAAGGTGTGACAAGGGTTTCAAAGGGGAATGTAGCAGCGGTGTAAACACTTATGATAGATTTAGTGATGTTTGTGAAGAAAATTCTGGGATGATTCCATTGATAAGAATTCTGACATATTTAGAGGCGTTTGTGGTGAGAATTCTGATGCCGATATAGCCATAATAGTTCTGACAAATTTAGAGGGGTTTGTAGGGAGAAATCTGAGATGGGTAGCGAGGCTAATTGCTTCAACAAATTTAGGGGGGTTTGAGAGAGAACTCTAAGATGGGTAGCAAGGCAAGGCAATGAGATAAATTTAAGAGAGTTTGTAGTAAAAATTCAGAGATGCATGTTGTGAATAAGAGCTCTAATGACCTGAGGATGAGTAAAAATGAAAGGATAGAGCTTGAAAGGAAGTTTCAAACGGCAGTAAGCTTTCGTAACTGGGAATTTGCAGAGAGTTTGATCCCTGTGGCTGATATGCCAAGGCTGAACGATGCTATGTGTATTGCTTTGGATTCAATCTGGTTTTTGAGAACAGAGTCGGAGCTTCATGGAATTATTGGTTTCATTAGAACGCTTATTTCAAATGGAGCAAACGATTTCACCAGAGCAGCCTTGAGGACTTCATTTCTCGCCTCATGAGTATCAGCTTGAAGGAGCCAAACAATTTCCACTTCAATTCTCAGCTAATGCTATGAAAGGAGAGAGGGTTTTGGGTCGATAGGAGAGAGAAAGTTTGGGGGTGTGGAGAGATGCTTTGAAAGGAGAGAAGAATTGGGGGGAGAGGATAGAGAGAGAGAGGGTTGGGGCAGGGGAGAGAGTATGCAAGAGCAAGGGTGAAAGATTTATTGGTGTCATTTTAAAAATTGTTTGGGATAAAAAAATATTATAAAATAAGATCCAATGGGTTTGGGAGGTTGGAAAGATAGATTTTTTAAAAAATTAAAAAATTTATTTTTCAAGTACTTGAGTACTTGAAAATTGATATATCCATTAAAGTGTATTGAGATATTTTATATATATATAAAAAAAAAACTTTAAATCGCTTGTGTTGGGAGCATGGCTTTTTGTTATTGATCCTCGAGGCCCAATCAAATGATGGGAGTGCTTGATCCGATGGGTCTTCTTGTTTGTTCACCTACTAATTTAGGTATTTAAAAATTATATTATTAAACAAAGGTAATTGGGATATTTATGAAGATAGATTTTTTTTTTCTTTTAAATCATGAGGGCAATATTTATGAAGATGGATTTTTTTAAAAAAAATAAAACGTATAAGGGTGAAAGTAAAAATTAAAAAAGTGTGACACTCCTTGAATCTTTTGACCCATTTAATAATATTTTATTTTTGGGTGTAAACAATCGAAGTACCATGAACTTCCAAACGCTCTTATGAGATGTAATTTTGGTGTTGAAAATTTTTAAGTGTTTACTCCAAAAATAGTTCAAATCAAGTAAATATATAAATGTATGAAAATCTTAAAAAATGATCGGTCCAGATAATGTGTTACAAGACGTACTATTTTTAATATTTAAAATCTCTTTGTTTTTTTCTTCATATCTATACATCTCAATGGCGAGATGATCACATACATTTTCCTAACATCAAAACTAACGTTTTTTAAGGATTGTAAATGTGCACCTGAATTCTACAATTTAAGATGTCAAACTTACTAAGGTGTACTTCAAAAATCTAGTAGAACTTTCCAATTAATTATCACGACCTATTTCAAGTCCTCAAAATAGTGCATCTTGAAACAAATTATCTATACAATCTATTTTTACGATTTTGAAGTGGTTATAGATTTGTTCGATCTATGTATCTTTTCATAATTTTAATTTTTTACAGTTAGGGTTAAATTTTACAATTGAATTCACAACCACAACTTGTGGTAAAAAATGCCAAGTGTTGCTTGTATATTCATACACTAGTTGAATTCCATGCGTTGTACGTATGCAATTACTTGTAGCAGATTAACTAACTATTCAATGATCAAAGAAATTTATTAATAAAAATTTTGATAAATCACAAATCATCGCTTACATAGTAAGAAAATATCGAGATCTGGCCGATCTAGATGGATCCGTACCCAGTTCTACAGGTTTTGTCAATATAAGACGCTTCGTATCATTCGAAGTAGGGTGCACTTGTGAGTGGTTGGATCTTGACGGTAGTATTGCCGAACCCCATGTGACGTCTCCGACTCCATTCTCTTAAAAAAAAAAAGAGTTCAAATCCCCATGACTTACCACTTTTAACTTACCAAAAAAAAAAAAGTAAGGTACACTTCGAATATCTAGTAGATAAGGTACATTTCAAATAAAAAAAAAAGTAAGGTACATTTCAAATATCTAGTAGAGAAAGTACACTTCAAATATCTAGTAGAACCTTTGGTAGTAATTATCATGACTTCAAGATATACAGATGTAAAAAAAAGAAAAAAAAGAAATTTTAAGTTTTAAGAATAGTGCATCTTAAAACAAGTTATTTATATTATATATGTTTAAGATTTTGAAGTATTTATAGATTTACTTGATCTGCATCTCTTCATAATTTTAAGTTTCATAATTAGGTTGAACATGAATTTTTTAGTCATTGTAGAGTTTTCTATATCGCAACCACATCTTGAGGTAAAATTTAGAGAAGTGTCTTACTCGTTTATTATAAGTACCTTGCTATCTTTCTCATTATTCCTATATAAAATTATAATATTAAGAAAAGAGCCCAGGTTTAATTAGTTAGTGCTTGATGAATTGCAAAGCTACATCCTAGGCTCAACTCTAATGAGGTAGGGTAGGGGCTTTTCCCCACTTACCCAAAAAAAAAAAAATTATTATTGTTACACCATGGAGAAGAAAATTAGAGAAAAAATACCACACCTTAAACTAGGATCCTTAATATAATAGAGGGCTACGATGTCTTTGCATCTAAAAGCGATGGCCTTGCCTTTAACCATTGGCCTGTTATGGACCGTCCATCAAAGCATCGAACGACGGACGATGAGAGAAGATTGTGTTGCCAATTTTTTGACACCCATAAAGTGCCAATAATTTAATGAGGACACAATCTCCTGGCAATAACTTGGCCAATCATTTGTCAGCTTGGAAATAGCCAAATCTCTTCACTGAGCCCTCTCCGTTGCTCGTTGCTCTCTCTGTCTTCATATAGAAATAGCCATTTCTCTTCATTGAACTCCCTCTGTTGCTTGTTTATATATCTCTCTCTCTCTCTCCACAGTAATACCCAATTCGCTTCATTGAACTCCCTCTGTTGTTTGTTGTGCTCTCTCTCTCTCTCTCTCTGTTGCTTGTTACTGTGTGTGTGGAAATAAGCACTCAGCTTAACACTTTCTTCGTTGAGCTCTCTCTGTTGCTAGTGGTCCTCGTCTGCGCTGATACTTCATCTCTCTCTCTCTCTCTCTCATGGAACTTCAATATTTACACCATCCTCAATATTCTTACTATATCCATAAAAGAAGCACCAAGTCACTCACATGCTTCTCAGTGCGTCTCAGCAAGCCCAGGAAACTTGAACTTGGATTTGAATCAAAATTTCCTAGCATCAAATGGTGACATTCTACAATTTCTCTCACATTTTCAAGTAGTCTACAACAACATTTGCTGATTTTTTTTGCTTTTTTCGCGTTCGTTCAGTACATACTATAAGAGCATAGGTGGAGCGTGCAAGCTAGTAGAGATCAGTAGAGTGAATAGCAGGATCAAAAGATTGGGAGTAAGAGTTAAGGATGAAGTTAAAGGAGAGACGAATTTGAGTTCAGAGAAGGAGGGTACCATAATTGGAGCTGTCTCTCTCATTGTTGGATCCACTATTGGGTCCGGGATTCTTGCTGTACCCGCGAAGACCGCCACCGCTGTATCTCTCTCTCTTTGAATTTTGTTTTTTGCAGAGGTGTCTCTCTCAGTTATATTTTTAATTTAGTTGGCTAAGGTGGGGTTTTTCAGAACTAATTGCTATGAATAGGGGCTCCCAAAGTAGAAACTAATGCAAAAAAGAAAATTTTCAGTTTGTTTTCTTAGTTTTGAAAACCAAAGAGTTTGTGTTTCAGATGGCACAAATACTTGAAGAGCATTTGGGTTTACCTTGTTGAATTGCCACTCTCTCTCTCTCTCTCTCTCTCTCTCTCTCTCTCTCTCACACACACACACACACACACACACCCACACCCACACCCACACCCACACCCACACGCACACATAGTTTTAGCTTGATTTAGTAAGATTAGCTGTAATTTTGCAGAACCGGTATCCTAGATTTAATTGTTGTGAAAAGCATTGCGTAAACTAAAATAATATTTCTAACTGATTGAACTAATTTAATACATCTCTTTTCTCTGATTTCGAAAACAGACTTTATAATTTCGAGTTTTGAGGCAATTCAAGCACAAATATTTGAAGATATTTTGTGTTGCCTACCTGAATTTACAAGCCTTCTTTTCCAATTTGTTATTAGTTGTCTCTCTGTCCCTGCCCCTCTCTCTATCTCTATAGCTTGGATTTTAGGCACAAATTGGGATTTTGTTGAAATTTTACTGGTTAGTCGTATGTCTGAAGACAGTTGCAGAGGAAGAACATCCTCTGCCCAAAAACAGTAGAAGGAAATTTGACACATGATTTTCTTGCTTTTAGATTTAAGAGTTTCTACTGTCTTGTTAACTAAAAGAAGTGATCTGAAATAGATATATGGTTTTGCATGACTTTGTTCATCACTCTTTTATTTCATGTGTATGGTCTCTCTCTCTCTCTCAACCAGAGAGTAGTCTGATGCCCAGGTACTCATGTCAAGAAAACTTAAGCATGTTTCCTGCGTGATCAAACTAGAGAGTTGTCTGGTTTTTATTTCTTTTTTGATAGGCACACTAAACACATGCTCCTCTCTCTCTATAAACATCCAAATCTTGAAAAATAGGCTCATGATTTGTGCGCACAGGGTTTCATTCCATCTGCTGTAACCATGATATTGTGTTGGGGTTTCCTCCTCCTTGAAGCACTCATACTAGTTGAAGTCAATGTCTATCTTTTCAAGAAGAAGAGAGGAATGGTGCTTCAATCAAATCCTGGCTTAGAAATGATCTCCTTCCAAACCATGGCCGAAGAAACTCTTGGGAAATTTGGAGGGGTCTTTGCATCTGCAAATTACGTGTTCTTCGCATATGCTGCCTTGGTTGCTTTTGCTGCTAAATCTGGGGAACTTCTCTCTCGCTTAACCAACCTCCCCTCTTCAGTTTCAGGCATAATTTTCATGGCCATTTTCTCTCTCCTTATTGCAGTTGGTGGCACCAAACTCACTGACCAAGCAAACCAATGGCTCACTGCCATCATGATAGGTATATGATATTATCTCATTGAGTCATCATATCATACGAGTGAAATCTCTCTCTCTTTCTGTATACATCTCTCTATTTATATATCTACCATTTCTAGGTCTACTGATATTGATTGAAGTATCGGTGGCGTCGTTTGGAGGCTGGACTGGAGTAAGTGGAAATGGGGACTGGGGGAAAATTCCACAGGCGATACCTGTGATCATATTTGCTCTCTCTTTCCTTGATCTCACTCCAGGTAAAGATTAGGTGAAACTTGTCACGAGTATTGTTACTTGATTGTTCTGTTATCATAGGAGAGAAGTGTGCATGCCCAAGGGTGGATGAGAATACAATTTATATTATGTTTGTTTTGTTACAGTGGTGTGTGCTTACTTCGATTGGGATATCTCTAGGATAAGGACTTCTCTCATACTTGGAAGCTTTGTACCCTTGCTTGTTCTTCTCCTATGGGATGCAATTGCACTCGGGCTTCCCTCTGATGTAGCTGGTTCTGATCCTTTGGACTTGCTCTTGAGGTAAACCCCCCCTCCCCTCTTCTTTCCCTCTCTCTTCATTCATACATACATACATACATATGTAGTAAAATGATTTTAAATGCTGGCATGCGTATATATAGTGCATGCCCAATGGCTCAGATTAGAAGTGAAGCAGATAGATGATCATGATTACTTTTTGTATTTGAATTTTATTTTATTTTTTTACAGATTTGTTGCACATGAAATTTGGGATATCCGCTCTTCTAAATCAGGTGCACCAACAAAAAAAAAAATTGATTCAAACAAAGCAAATTGACCAACATGCCCCTAAAACTTTCAGAGGTACTTTGTTCAATTTATTTTTCAAATTATTTTTTTATAATTTTCTAGGTGTGCCTCAGAGAGGTTCACATAGCCTCAAAATTTAATGTCAGAAATTGTAAAATAAAATCAAAATTCAATGACCTACACGCAACTGTGGCTGTTCATGTTCTTCCATTCTAATTTGGGCGGTTGGGCATATGATGCTATTGCATATGCAATGCATTTAAAGTTTTTTTTCACACACACACACATACACACACGATGAGGGCATTGTGAAAGTTATGATGTACAGATGAATCAATGGTGAAACCATCTACTTTTTTTTTCTCACTAAGATAGCAGGGTTTTGTACCAGAACTCAACATGTATTATATGTGAAAAAGATATACAATAGGCCCACGAATATGCCCACGAATATGCGAAAAAGATATACAATAGGCCCATGAAAATAAACTATGTGGTTTATGGTTCAGTTGGAGTGTGAGTACAAAAGATTATACATGATGTCTCAGACACTGTTTCGTGAGATTTCACTGAAATTTCCTCATTTACATGGGCATTTACAGCTTATACCTCATGAAGATACCTATTTGCAGCATTCTCTCTTTATCCTAAATTGCATCATTCCAACTTGTCAGTGAATATTTCTGCTTGTCTCCCTTCCTTTTCTCGCTCTTTCTTTTCTTCTTTCATCATACCACTCGTTTTTCTCCAAGTTTCCTTTTAGGACGCATTTGGGGAGGAGGGAAAATGAAATATTTGGATTCTCAACATTTATGATTTTTGAAAAATGAAAGATTCCTGTTTGGATCTCTTCTCTCTTGTTTGGGAACCAATTTTGTCCATGAATCTCCGGCCCTTGAATCCATTTAGTGGTTTTTAGGTAGTGGTAGCACATTGTTAGGTTGCACTCACTTGTTGGGTGCTTTCTGATGCACTTTTTTATTCTGCCTCACCCTCTTCAATTGCGTCCAAAGCTTGGTTCTCTCTCATTCCCCCGAGGATCCAGGTGTTCTGCTGGATTGCTCTCCACGAGAGAGTGCTAACTGTGTATTAGTTGCAGACGAGGGGCCTGCCTGGCCCGAATAGATGTGTAATGTGCTTGGAGGCTGAGGAGTCCAATGCACACATATTCCTCCACTATAATCTGGCCAGAGCTCTTTGGACTCGTATGCTTCTTTTCTTCCATTGGCCATGGGCACACCTAGATCTGTTCCAGATCTCTTCCAGGCATACCTAACACTCCCTGGCCTAAATCAGGTGCCTTTCTTTGGAAAGCATCAATGGTTGCAATAATTTGAGTGTTATGGATAGAAAGAACAATCAAATTTTCAGGGACGAGTATTCCAGAGTTGCATCTTTGGTCGCTACGGTTAAAAATCATGTCTTGTTCTGGGCCAGAAACCACAGCATCTTCAAAGATTATACCCACTTCGACCTCTTCAGTAATTGGGAATCCTTGTGGTCCCTTGCCTAGAATTGCACAGTCTTCACTTTGGAGATTGCCGGAACCTGGCTCAATCAAGCTCAATTTTGATGGTTGCTATCTTGGCAACCCCAGGCCCTCAGGGATTGGAGGCCTTTTTAGAACTCATGACAGCTCCATGCTTTTATTCTTTTCCCTTCTCATTGGTCTGGTTGACTCAATTCTTGCTGAGGCCCTTGCACTTTTGAAGGGCCTTCGCAAGTTCAATCCTTGGTGGAGTTCCGAATTAATCGGGGAAAGTGACTCCAACAAAACCATCGATTGGACCTCCAAAGCTACTTCATACCCATGGCAATTGGATCACATAATCGATGAAATTTCTCATATTGGTGGGGCTTGAGAGTCTCGTGAACTCGTGCCTATAGGGAAGCCAAACAGCCCATGTTTAAGAATGATAATGAGAATGAGTTTTCCCTCTTTCACAATGCAAATAAAACTCATATTCGCATTGCATTTAAGCTGTACAGAATTTTATTTGCAAATAAGAAGGAGGGAGCCCGACAAAATTTTGCTCCCTAATCTTCCTGTCTTTTCCCCCTCCTTCGCTTTTTTTTTAAGCTGTACAGAATTTTGGTCCCTTTTAAAAGGGTTTTAGGGGGCCCAGTTTAGGGGCACCCCATAGATGTACCTTCTATATTTATGCAATATAAGTGAATATTCTCAAAAAAATAATAATCAGTTGTTGGGTGCTTTGATCATGAATGTCATATAGTTCCTAAGTGTTTTCCTGTGTATCTCCATCATTGCAGTGTTCTAGACCGGTGGGTCAAACGGGTCACCTGCCGGTCTCGAGTTGCTTGGAGCAGCTGAGGTGACTAGCCGGTTCTCCAGGGTGATTTGAGATTAAAAAGATCAGTGAAAATTTTTAATACAAAATAAGATATATCCTTGAGAACTGGTGGGAACCAGGCAAAATTGCGGGCTACGAGACCTGGATGGTACCGATTTTTACAACACTCCATCCTTGCGGCTTCTTTCCTGCCGCTACCAGTATCCTGGTGTTTGCTGTGCTACCAATGCTGGAAAGCATCAGTAGCTCTCTCCCTCTCTCTATCTATCTGAAGTAGAAAAAACAATAGCTCTGTCCCTCTCTCTATCTCTTTACCAGAAGCAAACTAGAAAAGCAATGGAAATTACCATACACAACATTTAATAGCAAAAGAGCATCAGCTCTCTCTCTCATTGAGTTAGCATCACAAAACATTGTGCATAGAAATTTCTCTTGAACTTTGGGGTTGGGACTTAGTATAAGAACTAAATTATAGAACCTGGATGAGAATTCAATCATTTTAGTTTATTGAATCTGGTTTCTTGAGACCAAGGGCTTTATTTATTGCTGTATTGGTTCAAATTTTCTATTTTATACTGAAAATTAACTTGTTTTTGTGTTCTGATTATAGGATAAATGGGCATGGTGTGTCACTGATGGTTGAAGTTTTCTCTCTCTTAGCTATTGGGACATCCTTAATTGGGACTCTCTTGGGCTTCTTTGGGTTCCTCTTGGAGCAACTTAACAACACTGCTCTGAAATCTGTCTCTCAGATGCATCCAGTTGGTTCTCTCTCTCTCTCTCTTCTCTCTCTCCGCCCACTGCCTACTTTCCCAACACTGATTATTGGTCCAACACGGATATTAAGTTCGTTTTGTTCTTCACTTTTATATACGTCTTCAAATAAGTTTACAGATTAAATTGTGCATCAGCAGGCCTGTCAAAACTTTACTCTTCCTTCGGAAACTGGGGACGTGAAAGATCTCTCTTTGACAGAGAGTTATGAGGGAAAAGGGAGGTTTCGCTTCTTGGTGATGCTTTTGGCAGTTGTTCCTCCTCTGTTCATCTCCAACACGATTGCAGATGCCTTCTTTTCTGCAACTGATATTGCAGTAAGTGAGTGCGAGTGAGAGAGAGAATAATGTTTTGCCATTGGATATCCTTCAAAAAATGGTGTTTTTGGTAACAGGGAGGCTTCTGCCTGGAGATGCTATTTGGAATCCTACCACCTGCCATGGCATGGAAGATGATGGATGTTGACGAAGAAGAATCAAGAATGAAGATTATTCTCCCTGGGGTTGGCTTTATTGCTTGTGGAGTTATCATCGATGAACTTGTTTTGCAGTGGTCGTTGCACCACCTGTGATACATCTATGGGAGGAGTAGAAAGTTGCTATCTCTCTCTCTGCATAGATGCAAAAGGAGGAGGAGCAAAAATTTCAAATCTCTCTCTCTCCCTCCATGCATATATGTATAGTGAGTGAAGAGCTGCATTTCAAATCTCTCTCTTCATTCATATATTCAAAGGGAGTTGGGAACTGCAATTTCAAATCTCTCTCTCTCTCTGTCTCTTAGCTCTTAATTTTCTGTCTTGGTACAGTTGTAAAAGGAGCTTCTCTCTTTTATATTTGTATATTTCTGTATTTGCATTGAGCTGTATATGTATTCGAAATAAAAGTTCTTCTGATATGATTATATAAATACTTTTATCAAGAAATAAATAGATTTTTTCAGGTATCCTTTTCTATTGATCCAAACAGCCCCTTAGGTGTATTTGATTGTTTGCGTATTGAATTCCCATGGTGATGAGAGAAATAACTTGGAAAATACGAAATGGCATTCCAAAAACTCATGCCATTTCCAAAGAATGAAAGGCAAGATCCTTATCTATAACAGATGAGAATTTCCCCCACACACGTCTAGAGACCGGTGCAGACCTTGTAATTACTTTGTGTATCATATTACATATAGTGTGCTGTTTTATATATATGTTACTTAGGATACGGTTTCTATGCGGCCAGCCCGCATATTGTAGAAATGCGGGGTTAGCAAATAATATATTTTTTAAAAATAAATTGATCTTAATGGTAGAAGATGCATAATCCCTAACATGGAGATCGTGAATATGAAAAATAAAAATAAAAAAATTGAAAACTAAGAATAATAATTGTATTAAAAAAACATTTGGACCGTTAGTTACACTTGTTTTTAATTGGACCGCGTATTGTAGCTATGCGGTCCAACCCGCATGAAACAATTTCCTTTTACTTATTGTATTCTATTTTGTTGTAAAAAGTTGACTTGTTGTGCAAGTTGTCTCTAGTTGTATATATACATATTTAGTATGTGAATTAAAACATGTTTTCCTATTTAGTACGTGAATTAAAACATGTTTTCCTTGTATTAGATGACCGATTAGCTCGTTGAGGATGGTCTCAACACTCCGTCATAATGTGCCCAAGATGTTTGTAATAATTATAAAAAACTTTTTTTTTTACACTGGGATGATATATGACTATATCAGCATGGAATTTACATTCATAACATCGTAGCGATGATAAGTTCTTTTTGTGATGGCTTTCCTCTAGTCTTTTAGGCCACAAAGACATATTCTATATCCCTTCTTTCTTTCAATGGTGATTGTGTTGTGATTTTCGTCTCCTCATGAAGCATCTTGCCCATAATCATATCTCTATTGGGTACTGTTTTATGATTCAAAATATGGGTTCAAATGATCTCATATTCTCGTCTCTACAACTCAAAGTTTTGAGTGAGCGCGGTAAGGATAAAATTCTTTATACTATTTTTATTTCTTATTTAATCTATATACATTGTACTTATTTCTCGTATCGGTATAATGGGTGGGGTACATGCTGAAATCCCGATTAAACTAGAGAAAAAACAAAGGAAAAGTATTAGTTTGCATTTCTATATGTGCATCCCTTCACACATTGAAACATCCATCTAACAGATAGATGTAAAAGGTGGTGGTCGCACCAAAATCCCTTAAATTAGCGGTTGAAAAAAATATATCAGAAAACATGATTTATTCATGTTTACCATGGTATTGATTGTCAACCCAAGAAATTTTTTATCCAAAATCTGACAGGAGGAGGAGAACTAATGTAAATAGATGAGTCGGCCCCATTTCCATAACAGCTCTCCCTCTCTCTTTTGAATTCCATTGTTTTCAACCTCGGTTTCCACGTGTACTTAATTTTCCCAATTAAATGCACTACTTTAGAGAGAGAGAAAGTGAACATTTAAATGCACTACTTTAGAGAGAGAGAAAGTAAACATGTAGAAATTGGTTGAATTCATATATATATATATATATATATAAAAGGTATTTTAGTAATTTGTACCATCTATCTGGACAGCGACGGGGTTATTTAGGGTAAAAAAAAATATAGAGAGACATGAAAAAAAAAGCTATTATAACTCTATTTTTCATTGAGATAAAAAAACTATATCTCTCGTAGTTATAGACACGTTGTCGAAACACGTATATCTTTACATTATAGTTGGTCGTCTCTTTATATAAGCAAAATCACTATATAATTTTGTAATGTCCTGCTCCGTAGACATTTCAAAGTGGTTTCCAAAATAGATTCCTTAAAAAATGCCGTAAATTAAGAAGGAAAAGTACATAAATATGCGAAAGCGTTAATTTCATTGAAATCTCTTTCCATAATAGAGATTTCAACGGAAACAAACATGCACTTAAATTTTAAAGGGAAAAATATAGAAGTTGCAACGGGTAAGAATTAGGATCGACTTGAAAACCTACCTATGGAACCCGGAGCCGACCCGGTGCAACATCTCCCCACCAAGACTGGCCCAAATTGATTTGGTAGGACTTGGACCCAGCCCAAACTTGATCCAAAAATCAATTCGGGTCGGGTCGAACCGACTATCCCACCTAATCCATATTACAATATCAGATATTTCCTTGTATCAATGTAATTAAAGTTTTGATTAATTGATTTAATATTTAATTATGTACACACCAATGATATCCAGGTCAGGTCTGCCTGGACCCATAACTGACCTAAATGCTACTAGTCTAGGCTATTGGACTCGGATCGAACGCGCAAGGTCCAATGCCTGGACCTATACCCGGACCATGGCTCCTGACGTGACTCGATTGCCAGTCTTAGGACTTGCTTCCCATCCTTTTCTAGGCAATCCCCATGAAACTTTCACGAAATCTCCACCCTAAACGTTTCCGAAACCTTTCATGTGGAACAAGAGTTTTTAGGAAATTGCCTGTTTTTAGCCTAGTGTCCAGACAAAAAAATAAAAATAGAAACCCATAATTTCTATAATTTTATAATGAGAAACACATGCATTTTTGTTTCTTTGTTTTGAAAAGAGGACCTTCAACGTGATCCTCATTGTCCTTGTACAGTTATGTCCACAATAAAACAAAGAAAATGAAAAGAAAAGAAAAAGAAATATGAACGAGAGAATTACTGGATGGAGCAAATAGACAGTATGCTTCCTGGAGCAAGTTATCTTTTGCCGTGTAATGTGGTATAGGGTAAAATGAATAGTATACTTGGGTGCACGAACACGGTTGAAGAGTTCAAATAGAACCTTTTTTTTTTTCTTTATAAACCTATGGTTCAAATACAACTTGGTAATGGCCTAATAAGAGTTTTGTATTTTATTTTTATTTTTATTTAAAATAATATTTATTTGAAATTTCAATAATAAATATGTTTTTATGTAATGCACAAATTACAATAGTAATATAATGCTTTTAATATAAAATCTACTAAAATACCCATAAATTGTTTTAAAGGTATTTTGGTCAAATTTTTTTTATATATAATACTCTTTTACTAATTTATTTCATGCAAACTCTTTTGTAGCCTTTGGATATGACCATTGTTAACTATGATATGTGCGGCCATCCACCATTCATGATGAGGAGACTTTGCCCTGAAAAAAAGCATATTCCTATTTTTTGAATCAAAGTAGCATGGAAATATTAGTCATCAATTTTGGAGAGCTTTTACTCCAATACAATGAATGGTTCAGACCAGTGTTTTAAAAAACGCCGAGTCGAACCGGACTCGCCCGGTTCGACTCGGAAATCGTGAAAAGGGGACCGGATCGCCTAAAAAATCGGAAATCGTCCGGTTCTAGAGAGAACCGAACGATTCTGTACGGTGAATCGCCGATTCACTATACGGAATCGGCGAGTCCGAACAATGAATCGGCGAGTCCGTAAGGGTAATTTTTTTTTTTTTTTTTTTTTTGTAATCCATGATAGATTGTTTTGTAATACTTGATCGATTTTTTTGTAATCCATGATCGAATTGTTTTTGTTTTTTGTAATCCATGATCGAATTTTTGGTTTTTGTAACCATAATAGAATTTTTGTAATCCATGATCGAAATGTTTGTTTTCTTTTCTTGTAATCCATGATCGATTTTTTTGTTTTTTT